TTTTTTTTTTCTCGGATGGATGCTGTCTGCAGACCATAGCTAAAGCAATCGGAGATTGGTATTATGACCGAAGTTCGTTTAAGGGTATCGATTGCCCGTATCCTTGCGACAAAACGTGCCGCAATCGGGTTTATGAGCCTTGAGTAATGTAGATTCATTACTGTGCAAAATGAAGAGATTGGTGGTGGTAGGCAAAATGAAGGAAATATAATAAGTGTTCTAATATGAACCATAAAGGGTTTTAAATAAAAAGTATGAAAAAGAAAAATGAAATAAAGTCCAATGAGTGTTCAAATATAATATCATATGTTCTGTTTTCCCTGTTTCAGTGTGCATTTTCATTTCTAAATGGTGAATCATAAATGAATTATAAAAAAGAACAGAAAATTGGATCTAACACAGTGTTTGATATTCAACTCAAGAGGCAGAGCACATAACATTATAATGTGTCCCGAATTCAAATATGGCTCCCGGTGTTTGTTCGAACAATTTTCAAATGCAATATATCAACACTGTGCCAATGTTTTATGGCCACTTTTTGAAGAAAAAAAATGAAAAGTAGCCATCTTTCTCGGTAAAATGAAAAATTACCATTTTATTAGGTAAAAAGACAATGTTACCCTTACTTAATGTTTGAACTTTGAACTACCAAAAACAAAATAAAAAAAAAAAAATTCACTCCAATCTCCATAGGTCCCTCATTACTTCATCTCCCATTGCCCCATTCACTCCTAGAAATTAACCTCCTTCCAAAAATCATCTATATCACAACAAGTGAATCCATTTTAGAAGAAAAAAAAGTACATAAACCTTTTGCAAATTCATATCCAAAAATTGTAAACTTAATTTTTTTAAATATATTAAATAAAATAGTTTTTTGAAAACATTTATTTTTATTCTAAAAACAATGTATGAACTCCGAAAATTATGAATTTTTCTGGAACTATTTTATTTTGTTAAACTCATATATATTTTTTGGAGTTCAAGAAAATAGAGTTTTTTTATTTAAAAAAAAAACGATGCTCTGTTTTGCAGCTCATCACCATCAAACTTTTCTTGTACCGTTTCTTGAGTCATATTTCAGAGTTTTAGGAACGCAAGAAATCGTTTTTTGAATAAGGGACAAATTCTTGAACATGAAACTGTTTCTTGTTCAAGAAACAGTTTATTGAGCAAGAAACGATTTCTTGAGCCCCCAGAAGCAGTTTCAGCTCAAGAAACAATTTCTTGAGCCGTTTTTTCGGAGTTTTAGGAGCTCAAGAAATCATTTTTTGAATAAGAGACAATTTCTTGAACATGAAACAATTTCTCGTTCAAAAAACAGTTTATTGAGCAAGAAATTGTTTCTTGAACAAGAAACAGTTTCAACTCAAGAAATGGTTTCTTGAGCCCCAGAAACAATTTCAGCTCAAGAAACAGTTTCTTGACCTTTTATAAACGGCTTCTTGAGCCCCCAGAAACAGTTTCTTGAGCCGTTTTTTGGAGTTTTATAAGGAGCTCAAGAAATCGTTTTGAATAAGAGACAATTTCTTGAACATGAAACAGTTTCTTGTTCAAGAAACAGGTTCTTGAAAAAAAAAAACAGTTTCAGCTCAAGAAACGGTTTCTTGAGCCCAAGAAACAGTTTCTTGAGCTCCCATAAACAGTTTCTTAAGCCCCAAGAGACCGTTTCTTGAGATACTAGACACCGTTTCTTGAGCTACGAGAAGTCGGTTCTTGAGCTCCTGGAAACCGTTTCTTAGGCTACCTTAAATCGTTGTAAGTGTCGATGCATGATACTTGCTTATATGCGTTGTTATTACAACCGATGTAAATTGTGATAGGAAAAATTAAAGAATATCACTTTTTACATCAGTTTATAAAGGAACCGATGTCGAAAGTAAGAGAAAAAAGTTATAAAAAAAGAGATAGAGAGAGAGATTCTTCATTAGTTGAACCAATGTAGAAACTAGAAAGTAACTAGAAAAAAAAAAAGTAAAATTAACATTTCCGAAAATGCCAATACTAACGAAAATAAATAGTTCAACATACACCAAATATTCAGCATACATCAAATATTCTAAAAACAAATGCCTACATAGTCTCCTACTTAGACAATGAGGTGATACCGAGAAAACCAAATCATCAATTTCCTCTTGCATGGTCTCCATATATCATCAGTTTCCTCTTGCAAGTGGTTCTTCCAAATCATTATTCAGATGGTAATATTTCTAAAGTTGAGTTGAAGTTATGCCTTTTTTATTTTTGCTGGCATGAGCACTGTTGATCTATGGTGTCGCAAGGTAATGTGATGATGCACCTTTGATTTACCACGGTCGAGACCAGGCTGTGAAATCTCAATCCTTTCTTCCTTGATAATAGATTGATACCTGCAAACATGCATACGAAAAAGAAAAAGTTGGCTACATTTCTCGTTTTAAATCCATATGTATGCACCAATATAAAAGTTAGCTACATTATTTCTCCTTTTAAATCTATATGTATGCACCAAACCAATACATCTGTAGATACAATCATTATATTAATATGTATGTAAACATGTGTAATTTGTAATTAATAAGCCATTAAGAACTTCGAAAGGTAAGTGGGATACAAGTTCTCACGTACATCAATTCTGACTTCAAGGAATCCACATGACTAGAAATAAACTGATCAATTGACACAATTTCTCACATAGAACTTAGTTATATAAACTCCAGGTTTAACATGTTCTCTTTTATTGGATGTCTGCATAATCCCACGGTGAACCGAAACAAATATCTTGGTTTCTAAAACATCCTTCATTTAGTAACAGAAAAGTCAATTTTTTTAATAGAAATGCTAATATTTTCAGCTTACATGGTGCACAAAACGAAACAGGTATTTCAGGAGCGTAAAACGCAAGCACAGCATGTGCCCGTAAAGTTGGGTGTTTGGAATAGAAAGTAAGCTTTGAGTAGAATTTTAATAAGTGCTTTAGGTCAGTCGCAGGCACCAAGCATCGGAAGTTTGGTGAGATTGCCACTAGTCTTTCATTAGGATGTAAAATTCCGATTTTAGATTCTACTTGCTGCCTTTCAAGATCATCCGAGCAATAAAAGACATGTTTATTTATTTCTTCGAGTTAAGCCTTTTTGTAAAATTCTGATGGGTCGACCTTCTAGATTCTAGTGGCTGCCGTTCAATGAGGATTGCCTTCTTTTCATCTTTCTCATTTATCTTGAGGACACAATGTAGGTACTACAATACATGAAAATCTGTATCAGTTAAAAAAAAAAAAAACATATTTTTCTTAAATGCTTCACCTAATTTGACAAAGTTAATACGCGAAAATGAGTACTATTAGGACACAATGTTGGTACTGAAATGAAGGAAAATTGGTAGTATCAGTTTACAAAACATAACTTCCTTAAATTATTCACATAATTTTATTTCATTGCACAAAGTACGGACTAAATACGAGGAAATGAGTATTATTAGGGCATAATGTTGGTACTGAAATAAAGAAAAACTGGCACTCCCTCATGTTCTTTTTAAATGTCGTTATGTGCTTTGACACGTAAATTAAGAAATTTTTTCTTTCCAATATTAGTCTTATTCAAAACAAATTAACATTAATAAATTTCTTTTTTTTCAGCTTTTTTATGTTCTTTTAAAAGAGAGGATCAAGCCAAACCTGGTCCTGCAAAACACTAAACTCATCGTTTTTCCACAACTTTCCTCCGAAAATTACACTATTGCAATCAATATATATAGTGATTTATATGTAGGTTAAATAGTTTATACTTATTTCTTTTATGTTTACAAAGAATAAAATTTATGAAATGTGATATACACATTATCGAACTTATAATTTCAAATATTATATGCACATACAAAATAACATATAAATTTCATTTGTAGCTTTACATGTACGTGTACATAATCGAATACTAGTTTGAATAATTGTATAATAGATCACCTTTTTATTGGTCATTGACACATTGTAGAAATTGATTGAGGAGAAGACCTAATGAGCAATTGAGTATTCATTGACCATCAAGGTAATTAAGTAAAGTAAATTACACATATTTATGTAAAAATTTTCATTTACAAGCTAGCTAGGTAGAGTAAATTCCATATAGCAATGTTGATTGCTCAAGATATTCTCATCTTTAATTATATAACAATGTTGATTACTCGAGATATTCTCATGTTTGTCCAAAAAAAAATCCAGTTTTATCAGTCTTTTTTTTTTTGCCTTATTTTTTTAATAATTAAACTCTTTAAACACACACACACACACACACACACACATATATATATATATATATATTATATTTCAAGAATAATGTAATTAACATCACATTAAAATATTCTATTTCATATATTCTTACACTACAAAAAAAACACTACAATTCCGACGAAAAATTCCAACGGCAAAAATTTTCGTTGGAAATTCTAATGAATATTCCAACAAATTTAATTTTATGTTAGAATAAGTGTTGGATAGTTGAGGAATTCCAACGGATTTTTTCCGTTGGAATAGCTGTATGAATTTATTTCCATAGAATTTTTCGTTGGATATTTGCTATTCCAACGACCGTTTTTCCAACGAATTTTTATACGTAGAAATATCCGTTGGAATAGCTATTCCAACAGAAATATAAAAAAATCCAACGGAAAATTTCCGTTGGAATGTAAGATTTTTTTTTTGTAGTGTTATAGATGTAGATTATCCAGATTTTTTGTGTTGAATAAACTAAAATAGAAGATTTTATATTTATTTATTTCTTGAATTAGTTATATATCCTGAAATTTGCCATTTTTTATTTAGTTAGATGGAGAAAAAAAAATAAATAAATAAATTGCAAAATCAGAAAACTGCAAGTTGTACAAGATTATTTTCCCTTACGGCATGATTGACATACCGGAATGGAAATATGTCATGATCATTGTGTAAAATGAATGAAACAAATTTTTTTATTCATGTGTTATCTATGAAAAATGAATAAGACCTGAACGGAATGACATTATCATTTACCACAATATTTACAAAATATAATATTAATATTAATGTTCTTTTTTTATTTATGATAATACTAAATAATTTTACTTTTAAAAAAAAAATATGCTATAACTTAATAAAAATAAATATATTTTTGTATTTTATTTTATTTTATTTCGTATTTTATTTCAATATTTGATTATTGATACGTGTATACATCATTTATCAGCTTATAGAATGAAACTTAAATTGGTATACATAATATGAACAATGCTCACCTACCCACGGTAGGCACATATTAATATACCCACCGTAGATGTGGCATGCACACATTGGTGATGTGAATATGTTAAAAAAATACATCACCAATGTGTGCATGCCACATCCACGGTACGCATATTAACATGTGTCCACCGTGAGTATGTGAGCATTGTTAATATAGAACAATATATATATATATATATGTGTGTGTGTGTGTGAGAGTTGAACCCCACAAAGCACACCAATTTCACAGAAAAATGAGTGGAGAAGTACAGAGATATTGGGTGTGCATTTTGGTTTTTTTGCTGATATTATTGAAAAAAACTGAAAGCTACTTTGTTGACATTACATATGTTGCAAGTGATGTGCATAAAGGAGGAGGTATTTTAAAATTAATAAATAAAAAAAAAAATTAATGAAGCTAGCTTGTGTAAATATTTATTTATTTACTTTTTTACCAGTGAATTAATTATTATTGTTATTATTTTTTTTATTTATTTATTTATATTTGGGTATATAATTTTACAGTTTGTTTGGATGGAAGCCCACCTGCATACCATCTTGATAAAGGATTTGGAAAAGGAATTGACAATTGGTTAGTTCATTTTGAGGTAATTGGTTCATATTATCCCGTGACTTTGGATTTGCGATCCGTTAATTCGTTATAGACTAATTGTACTAATGTCGAGTCGTAGATACAAAGTTCCGATCTATTAATAATTTAGTAGTCGGAAAAGTAACAAGTGTCAAGATTTCCCCATCTTTCACTCGCATAGTACTCAGTTGGTGGACATATTAACTCGTCACACAACATTTTCTGTTATATACAAAAATCTATATGAAGTTCGAATGAATTCATGTGAGCTAGTTTTTTTTTTTTTTTTTTTTTTCTTTGTCATGTAACTGAAAATAAGGGAGGAACATGGTGCAATAGCGTAAAGTCTTGTCTCGCTCGGAAAAAAACCCGACTCGGCTCCTCCAATTTAATGGAGAAGCAGGTCGATTTTTCCGGAATTTTAAGCAACAAGAAGGATAATAACCCTGGTATATATATACTCACTCTCCAATTTTCCTTTCATGATCATACATATATATAACTAATGCAACTATATAAAAAAGTGTTGTTCAATTCGATTTCGAATTTGCAGATTTTTACTACTGGAATCGCGTCAAGGTTCGGTATTGCGATGGCTCGTCGTTCACAGGCAACAAAAAAAAAGTTGACCCTGTAAGTGAATCTTATTTGGCTTATACTATAACAATTGATTTTACTAAGGCATATTGTACTATATATATGTGCATATAATAATAAGTCTATTATATCATGTTTGTTCATTTAATTCTACATATATATCCAATCGCTCGTGAAACTTTCGATCATTAGCCATTCGGTTTTGACCAGAAAACGGGACTTCACTACCGTGGGGCGAAAGTCTTTGATGCAATAATGGAGGACCTATTTGCGCAAGGAATGTCGAACGCTCAAAATGTACGATAGAATACATATATTTGAATTTTTTCTAATTTTTACTACAATATGCTTGTAAAATTCTTATATATATGTTTCTATAGGCAATTCTATCAGGATGCTCGGCTGGCGGGTTAACGTCCATTCTTCATTGTGATAAATTCTCGGCTCTTTTTCCTCCCAACACGAAAGTCAAATGCATTGCCGATGCCGGTTTCTTTCTTGACGAGTAACTTTTCGTGCACAACTTAGTCACTTTTCAATAAGTTCCCTTTCATTTTTTTTTTCAGCTTATATGAAATATCTGTAACAGGGATGATATCAAGGGTGTTTCGCGTATCGAGGATTACTTCGACCAAGTTGTCACGACGCATGTAAGATGTCGACGCGGATTAACTTAATTTTTCGGTTGTGTAACCGTATTTTGTTTTTTATTTTATTTTCTTTTCTTGGTTAGTTGTTTATTAATATCCTATGTGATTGTAAGTTTTTGTGGTTGAATGGACACGACAGGGGTCGAAAGAGAATTTACCGGGACCGTGCACAGAAATGTTGTGGCCGAGCCTGGTTCGGAGCAATTTTCTTTTTTCAAGATTATCTTCATTTTTTTTTATTTTTTTTTTTTTTTCATGTTATACAAATTTTTTGCAGTGTTTTTTCCCACAAAATGTGGTGGGATTCATGGAGACACCACTTTTCATTGTAAATGCTGCTTATGATTCATGGCAGGTCAGAACAGAACAGAACAGAACAGACACACCTTTGACAAATCAAAATTAGAGTTGAATTAAATTAATTGGTTATTAATACTATTAACTTAGTTACTAATTAATTTATTGTCCTAATTTTGCCAGATTAAGAACATCGTGGCACCTCGAGCTGCTGATCCACATGAGAAGTGGCTCGATTGCAAGGCTGCGATAACGAATTGTTCGCAGGATCAAATCAAAATCCTGCAAAGTTAATTCCGTTTCGTTTTGTCGAACATTTCTAGTCGAACGAGTGTTTTCGCACCGCATTGTATAGTTTTCTTGATGCAAAATATGATTATGTTATTTTATTTTATTTTTTTCAGGCTTCAGAGAAGATCTCATAGGCGGGGTATATAACGCTTTGGATTGGTCCGATTCGGCAGGATGCTTCATCAACTCTTGCTACGCGCACTGCCAAACCGAAAAACAGGAAACGTGGCTTAGTAAAGACTCTCCCCGATTGAACCAAACGGTTATACATCGAACTTTCGAACTATAACATTCTGTCTTTTTTTCTTTTTACTTTTTCTTTTTTTTCCGTAATTATTGATGCTGAGTAAGTTTTTGCTGTCTGCAGACGATAGCTAAAGCAGTCGGAGATTGGTATTACGGCCGGAAGTCGGTTCGGAGTATCGATTGCCCGTATCCTTGCGACAAAACGTGCTACAATCGGACTTTTGAGCCTTCAGAAATGTAGATTCAATACTGTACAAAATGAAGAGATTGCTCTGGTGGTATACAAAATGAAGGAGATATAACAAGTGTGTTCAAATATGAATTTTCAAGGGTTTTAAATAAATAGTATGAAAAANNNNAAAAAAAAAAAAAAAAAAAAAGAGTAATGAAATAAGATCCAATAAGTGGTATAGTCTCCACATGAATAAATGGGTTTTCTATAATATCATATGTTCTGTGTTCTGTTTTCCCTGTTTCAGTTTGCATTTCTTGTACATATTCATTTTTTATTTTATTTTATTTTATTTTATTTTATTTTATTTTTATAAATATATAATTATCCAAAATAAAACCATAAATAAATGGTTAAAAAATGAAGCATAAGAAAGAGCCGAAAATTGGATCTAACACATTGTTTGAATTTCAACTCAAGAGCCAAAGCACATTACATTATAATGTGTCCTAAATTCATATTATGGCTTCATTTGTACCTACTGAACAATTTTCCCTTCCAACTGCAATATATCAAGAATTCATTCGATGAGTATCAACAGCAATCAAAGGTTCCTTCGAGTTAACTGCCCCGAAAACTGATCAACGGCAGCCATCGCACGAGAGGCAGGTCCAATCGAGCCCTCATATCTGAACAGATCGCAAACGGATATAATAACTAATGAAGAAACATAGATAAATGGTCACGAAATCCACTTGAGAGTCCCGAGTCGACTAAAACTAAAGATAAGCTTACATGCCAACCAATAGAAAAGCCGATGTCTGCATTACAATAGCACCTTCACCGGCCTGCTTTGTCGTGTTCAAACAGCGTGCACAGAACCAGCTCTCGTGAATCGAGGTCACCAGATCTGTAAATACAAAACATCAAAGTAAATATAAGCCTTTACAGAGCTTCGTCACCAAATGCAGTTAAAAACAGTTAATAAGATCGTGGGCATGGCATATGTACAGAAATAACCACAAATCGGCAATGGAAAATTAAAAGGACAAATAAAATCAGAAGTGAGAGAGAGAGAGAGAGAGAGAGAGAGAGAGAGAGAGAGAGAGAGAGAGAGAGAGCGAAAACAGCACTCTGGATTTCTGACAAAATTACGTTTATGGTGATAGTACAGCCTGAATTACTCACATTGGTTTCTCCCAATAAAGAAACTCCCCATTTGGAGTTTGTTTCTCTTAACAAAGCTGACAAACTGACTTATTTCAATTGGATCGGTTTTTATGCCCTCTTGCTCGGCACTACAAGCAAAGTAAAGAAAGCTTCAAATCTGGCACTCGGGGCAAAGATAAAACGCTATTTAACTTAGCATCAGCCTACAAATATACAAATGAAGTTAATGAGCACACCACATTTTCATAAATCAGGAACCTGGGCAGACTGTGAATTAACAACACAAAACTCATCCCATGCTTCATATTTTATCTTTACTCCTGGACCCCATGAATTAGTGAAATATTGTCAAAAAAAAAAAAAA